TATTTTCATTATTTAACTAGTAGCTAATTAGCAACAGAAATGTGAGTTAATACTACCAATGGCATTTGTATCTGAATGCAAATTATCTGAATACTAAAGAACTTTCCATCAGCCTCAATGGCAGGACTTCCCAACCTTGGCTGCATGATGGAATCACCTAGGAAGTTTTTAAAAATCTGATGCCCAGGCCACACTCCTGACAAATTAAATCAGAACTTCCGGGGTGCGGGCCCAATCATCAGAATTTTTTCTAAGTTCTCCAGGTGATTCCAATGTACAACCAAAATTAAGAATCACTGGCTTTAGGCAAAGCATTTGAAAAAATAAAATTCCAAGCTAGTGAAGGAGATTTTTTTTCGTAGGGATTTATTATGTTGCTCTATGGAGGTTGTCAACTGGTGGGAATGCTCTGTTCGAAGAAAAGGACCGTATTTATTAAGAGAGACTGCTACATTTAAAAAATCACTAAACACTTAATTTCTAAGTCTTGATTTTAGGAAGTTACCTCACTTGGGCTTTGGGTACAAAATAGGGATAATAATAGCAATGCCTAGGCTCATGGTGCTGTTGATGATGATCAAATGTAACAGAGTACCAGAAAATGCTCTATAAACTATAACATTTTATTTAGTATTATGTAGCTGAGCTGTAGAACCATTTATCATTAAAAAGACTAGCTGTAATGTAGATTATAACTGTAATATGGATTATTACCTAAATGATTTGCCACTTTGTTTTAATAGGCATTTACTTTATGAAATCTAAGTGTCTAGCCCAGTGTTTCTCAAAGTATGGTTCCTGAACCACTAGCACCAGCATCACCTGGACACCTCAGAAGTGCAAATTCTTGGGGTCTATCCCAGACCTAACTAAATCTGAAATTGGAGGCAGAACCTAGCAATCTAATTTGAATAAGACATCCAGGCAATTCTGATGTTAAAATCTGAGGACCATATATCCAGCCAAAGTGAGTAAAAAGTGAGTATGAATGACAAGTATCAAAGGAAAATACATAGTATTTGATATTTGAAACTTTAAAGGTTGCAGTACAAAGACATAGTGGCCTAAATTACTACTTTAAAAAAAATCCTAAAGCTTTGTTTTCAAAAATAATATAATTCTCTTTACCCAGCCAATCTTTATCAATTAACACATTAATCATGAATCCAGTGGTAGTATATAAATTTGAGAATCAGATAAATCACAGAGCATATAACACTCCGGATAAGGAATAAAGAAACAAAACTCTAGTAGGAGTTAACAGTGGTTCAGAAAATAGTCAAGTTTTAATTCATTGGGCCTGCATGTCTCTCAGAGGAAGAATCACAACTGTATCTTAAAAATCATATTTATCCTAAAGACAACACCCCACAGCATCTCAATGTTCTTATTCAGGCTATGGAAGTGTTTCATCACTTACTCAGAGAAAAGACCATTACTTAGACTGAATCACCAGCAATATTTCCTGCAGCATAAGATTTGTCATTGGGTCTGCTAAGCAACAGAAAAACAATCTCAAAACTTCTTATCTTAAGAGATATCATAAGAGAAAGCTATCAGCATTGCTCCCAAACTCAGAGTTTGTTATTTGCCACTAATAAAACATATACAGGAGAGTAATAGGTGAGATCACTGAAGAGTCTTGTGAGATTGCAACAGAGAGTTCTTTGAGATCTTTCTTGTTTTCTCTTTTTCCATTTTAAAAAAACTTTGGGGGGCACCTGGGTGGCTCAGTGGGTTGAGACCGCTGCCTTCAGCTCAGGTCATGATCTCAGGGTCCTGGGATCGAGCTCTGTGTCGGGCTCTCTGCTCAGCGGGGAGCCTGCTTCCCCCCTCTCTGCCTGCCTCTCTGCCTACTTGTGATCTCTCTCTCTCTCTCTCTCTCTCTGTCAAATAAATAAATAAATAAATATTTAAAAACAAACAAACAAACCCAAAAACAAACTTTGGTGTCCTCACACCTAGCACCGCCCTGGAAAGATGAGAGTGAAATATCCCAATTAAGAACTGACTTTATCCCAATTAAAAACTGCTGTACCTCATAAGAAAAATGAACAATTCTAAACTCTTACTTCCTACACTGGAAAAAACTAGCACAGGTAAATAATTGCCAAAATAATTAATTCCTTTTGCTCACCCACTCATCTATAAATACTTATTGAGTACCTAATATACTCTAGGTATTGTTCTAGGTGCAGAGTGAGTCTAGAGAGATGCACAGATGTCAGTGAGGAGGACAGAGATTCCATGTCTCCAGGTTTCAGTTTCTCTGTCAACCAAACCATTAGTACTCAAACTTGAGCAAGCATCACAATCACCTGGAGAGCTATTTAAAACAGACTTTTGAAGCCCACCCAGATTTTCTATTCTGTAGATCTGAGATCGGGTCCCCAAAGTAGCATTTCTAATAGATTCTCAGGTGATGCTGATGCTGCCAGGGCAGTGGCCACACTTTGAGAACCATTTACCAAGCCACCCGAATGCAGCTCTTCACGCTATCCCTGCCGACTTCCAAGCACTATACATCTCTCTTCCAAAGAAGACAATGGCCTGGAGACTGCCTCATGCCTGTTGTCATAATCATGTACAACTGAGCAAAATTCCAGTTTCAAGAACCACCTCAAATATCTACAATCAGTAAGCTCCAGATCAGAGGGAAAAAGTATAAACAACAGAGAAAATTCTCCTTCCAGGGGGTTTTCTCTATCCTTGCTTTTCTTTATATTTTATTCTCTACCATAAGAAATCATTTTTATATTATGATTTCCCAATGCGAGTGTTATGGAAAACACTCCTTTAGACTTTTCATATATCTTTAATAAAATCACAGCTTTTCTTCTAAATTCAGTTCTCATGGGCCTAACACCCACCCTATTTGTCAGACTATCTCCTTTTTGAACAAAAGAATCATAGGATTAGAAGGAACACTGAGAATTCACTTAATCCCTCCTTGGCCTCAGACAACACTGTATCTAAACCATCCCCAAATATAGCAATTTTTAGTACAAAGACGTACAGGCACTAAGAATTTCTCATTCAACATTCTGTCACAGACTTGAAGATACTAATATACTTTCCCTCAGCCTTCCCTTCTCCAAGCTAATCATCCTCAACATTTAGACTTTCTTCATTAGATTTCCTAAACTTTATTTTGACTCTTCCTTAATAACTTTATCCTACCTTATACTTCAGAGCCTGAATTATGTATGTACTGTTGTCATGAAGGCTTTTTTTCTTTTTTGGTATGTGAAAGAGATAAGTTAATTTGTAGCTTGAATAAAAATGAATTTAATTGGAACAGAGAAATATATATGTATAAATGCCACTAAAATATAATACAGTGGCATTCATTTGAACAATTAGTTTCAAATATCCTTTATTTTATTAAAATATATAGCAATGTCTTACAGTTTTAAAAACTTTACATTATAAATCACTAGCCATTTCACACATAAAATGGATTGGAATTAGAGATCTTTTAAAAATATGCCACAAATTGGGACACCTGGGTGGCTCAGTGGGTTAAGCCTCTGCCTTTGGCTCAGGTCATGATCTTAGGGTCCTGGGATTGAGCCCTGCATTGTGGGGGGGGGGGGTCTTTGCTCGGCAGGAGCCTACTTCCCCCTCTCTCTCTGCCTGCTTCTCTGCCTACTTGTGCTCTCTCTTTCTGTCAAATAAATAAATAAAATATTTTTTAAAATAAAATAAAATATGCCACAAATTATAAATAACCATATTTCATGACACTTCACACAGGACAAGACAGTATTATTAATTTGCTTTTTTGATGTTTTATATCATGTTTGCTACTAAAGTTGGAGTAGCTAATCAATGATTTATTTGTGAATGATTCTAAAAATACTAAATATTATATAATAATCATTTCGTGAAAATATTCGAGCCTCAAGAGTCAGAGGACTTTAGAAAGTCAATGAGTACAAGACAAGATAGGGTAAAGGCCATGTCCAATCATATGTTTCTGAGCAGTTTAGAAAGGGAAAATAGTTAATACACTGGAAATGGGGTAAAACGGGGTGATTCACTTATTTCTATGTCTCCCGTTCTAAATATCACTATTCAAAATGAATCTTTGCTTTTGGAATGGTGAGGTGCTCTAAGCAAGCCTAGGCCTGAGGGATAGGTTTGTTTCCTTGCCTATTGGGACCAAGGTGTACGGTGGAGGCGATGCATTTAGTCTCCAGAGAGAAGGAAGATGCTGCTTGCACAGCACTTCTACTCACCAGTCCATGCAGCAGCAAGGGTGTTGGCTTTGAAGGAAGCCAACTGTCCTGCTCTCCCAGCCAGAGGTAAAGAATTGCATTGGTGGCCACTAGAGGGAGGAGGATTAGGAATAGAGTAAATTGTGGGGAAAAGGCACCCATGAAAAACGCACATGGGACAACCAACACATCACCAACCACCGCCTAGCAGCTACCTCTCTGAGGGACTATAATGGGGTCAGCATACACCATTAACCCAGAGACCCAGACACTAGGAGTTATCGTAGTATCCCAGTATATAGCCCCTTAACTGTGATGGCTGGAGAAGGGAGTTGAATAGGTTTGTGGGAAACACACAAGCACACAAACACAAACACGCAAGCACACAGACATACATTCTCATCCCCCATTACAAGAAGTTGAATCTGTGCCGTCTGATTCTTGCTCATTTTCTTATTTAAAACTCATGATGTTCTTTACCAAGAATGTGTTCACGAAAAGCAAACAGCCCACCTTCAAGATAGTCTTGGGAGAAGCACCAGCAGAGACACTCATTGTGCCAAGATGTATTTTACCAACAAATCTGTACAAATTACATGAGGTTAAAAACAAATGGAATATAATATAATTAAAGCAAAGTTTCTTTTTGCTAAATTACAGCTTGAAGCAAACCTGCAAGAAATGTTTCCAATTAGCTTCTTTAGCAAACACAAAGCATAGCTCAGAATATGTTTTGCTTTCCATCTGCCCTCTGGGTGGGCTGCCTAGTGTGTGTCTTACCTCCGGCACAAGTAGTTGAGCATTCTGACCAAGGCTGATGATTCCATGAAAAACCAACTTCATTGTCTCCACTGCCGGTCCGAGTGATGGGAACGTTGAATTTATACCTAATTCCCAAATTCTGTTCCTGAAGCAGAACCTGCCATTGAAAACAACTGGTGAAGATAATTAAAATACAATGAGGCTTCATTCAAATATTTATTGTTTCTTTTGAAGAGGAAAATGTCATAAAGTAAGTCTTACAGGAAATTTAAGATAACCTGTAGAACACACGCAATGATATTGAATTTTCTCCTTCCATTTTCATGGGTAATTTAGAATCATTTCTCTTAAACGCCTTGTTTGGTTATAAAAATACTATTTAAGCAGGCATTGAAAAGATCAGTCATATGGAAGGAGCAATATGGCCTTAGCCTTACACAGATTTGATACCCTTGGATAAACCATTTTCCTTTATTAACCTTAATATCACCACCTGTAAAACAGAGATAACAAAGCCTGCCCCTCTGTACCTCACAAGGCAGATCACAAATGGAAAAAGTTAAGTGGCAAAGACACATTTACCATGACAATGAGATTTTCTGAGGTGGGACCTAGAGCTTCCAAAGATTCTGGTTCATCAGTTGGTCTCTTGTAGTGAAAAGCAGTCCCAGCAACATCAAACTTCCGAGGCCAGTCAATAGTCCAGGCACCATTAATATAGTAATCATCTCCTTCAGATTTCAAAGCTAAAAAAAAAAAAAAAAAGTCTATCTAAAATGTAAAACTTCATTTGCCACAATGTCACTTATTAACTGCACTGGAGTGTACAATGAGTATCCATTTCATTTCTACTTGGAGATAGGATTCTTGGCCATTTGCTTAAGTAAAAATTAACATGGTAATTTTGCATGTGAACGCCAAGAAGATGTTAAGTATTTATTGATGATAGTAATAAAAAGAAATGAAAGTTTTATCTGGAGGAATAAACACATGGAACTAGCAAGGGAAATTATAAGAAAAGCAATAATTGGGGTAAGAGTAGGGAGCAGATTTTCTTGCCTAAAACTTAAAATTATAATTACATGAATATGAGATGAAGTGGACTTGTGGTACTGGCACACAGACAGAAAAATGGAGCCAAACAGTGAAGAAATAAACCCAGGGCACCTGGGTGACATAGTTAAGCATGATTCTTGATTTCAGCTCAAGTCATGATCTTAGAGTCCTGACATTGAGTCCTATATCGGGCTCCATGCTCAGCACAGAGCCTGCTTAAGATTCTCTCCCCTTGGCCCCTCTTCCTGTATACTCTCTCTTTCAAAATAAATAAATAGGGCGCCTGGGTGGCTCAGTGGTTTAAGCCTCTGCCTTCGGCTCAGGTCATGATCTCAGGGTCCTGGGATCGAGGCCAGTATCCTGCTCTCTGCTCAGCAGGGAGCCTGCTTCCTCCCCTCTCTCTGCCTGCATCTCTGCGTACTTGTGATCTCTCTCTCTGTCAAATAAATAAATAAAATCTTTAATAAATAAATAAAATCTTTTAAAAAATTATTAAATTCTACATTATATCAATTTCACCTGAATAAAAACAAAATTTAAAAAAGAGAGAAAGAATAAATGCCAGATGGGTAAATATTTAAATGTATACATAGTTAAATAATAAAATGCTAGAAAGAAAATATGGAAGAACTTAAAAAAGTAATATTAGGGTATAAAAAGGTTTTCTAACCATGACAAAAAAACCTCACAAACTATAAAGAATACGCTTAATAAATATGCATGCATAACTTTTTAAACCTCTGTAGAAAAATAATGTATTAAAAAGTTTTATAAAAAAAGTTTTATAAATATGTGATAAGAAAAAGGACTATTAGCACTACTATATAAAATACAGATAAAAACTCCCATAAATAAATAGGATGATGATAATTTTAATAATGATGATCATGATTTGACAGTGACAAACATGTCAGTATAATTTTTTGTTAACATGCTAGCTTCTTCAAAACCTTTATCACAGGGGTGCCTGGGTGGCTCAGATGGCTAACCATCTGACTTGGTTTCAGCTCAGGTCATGACCTCAGAGTTGTGAGATCAAACCCCACACAGGGCTCCATGCTCAGCAGAGAGTCTTCTCTCTCTCTCTGTCTCCCTCTCCCCTTCAACTTGTGCATTCATGTACACTTAAAAAGAACAAAAACAAAAAACAAAAACCTTTAAAAAACACACACACAAAATTTTCTCAGGCCAGATGAACAAGCAGCTCAAAAGCACTAAAAAGGTCATGGCACATAGAGTCTCTGACTCTCTGGACCTCTACCACTTGTCCTTAATATTATATACCATTTCCATACCCCCAACCCTATCCTCCTGGCAAGTTACTTGTACTTTCTTGACTCCAGATATGTTGTGAAAATTCATTTAATTGTCAAAAATAAATCTAACTAATCTTTTGGGATTTGTCAACCAGTTTTCTGTCACTTAACACATTGAAAGTACTTTGACTATATAAGGACATCTGAGACTGTATGATATGAAATACTGAAAACAAAAATTAAAACAAGCCTCCCCCACCCACCACCAGTAGCTCTGAATTCTCCTTCAATTTTAACTCTCACTTTCCATTTTTTCAACTACTTAATGAATGGATCTTTACTCACTTTTGCTGGTACTATAATAAATTCAGAAAAACACAAAGTATTTAAAAAGGAATGAATAAGGGAGGAAGATGTGACTTTATAGACAGAGCATTATCAAAGGGAAAAATCTGATATTAGGATTCTTATTTTTTAGTCTTTTGATGTGGAAAAGAATCCAAAATTATGGCATAAAAATAAAGGTTTTTTTAAAATTTACTCATTTATTTTAGAAAGAGTGAGAGAGAGAGTGGGGGTAGGAGCAGAGGGAGAGAAACCCCAGGCAGACTCCCCCACTCAGTGTGGAGCCCCACACAGGACTTGATCTCATGACCTATGAGATCATGACCTGAGGTGAAAGCAAGAGTTTGGACACCTAACTGAGTGAGCCACCCAGGTGCCCTAATAAAGAGGTTTTCTTAAATAAAGGAAGGAAGAGCCTGATAATACAAATGTTCCATCTAAAGAAGCATTCTAGATGTGGTCTTATCTTTAAAAATATTTAAGCAAGGGGATATTTCCAAGGAAATAAGAACTTATCCAGGTCTCGCTGGAGGTTTCTGAAGAGTCTAAATTTGTCTTAAAAGATCAAACATCCAATAAAAAGAATTCCCACTTCTTTCCATGTTGAGATAACTGGTATTGAACTTGCCCTCCAACAGTAAACAACTGGAAAACTCATAAAACTTTTGAATCAATTGTTCTTAAGCTGAAAAGTTAGTGACATTGTTTGCAGATGATATGATACTATACATAGAAAATCCTACAGACTCCACCAAAAAACTATCAGAAGTATAAAAGAATTCAGTAAAGTTACAGAATACAGAATTAATACCCAGAAATTGGTAGTGTGTCTATACAGCAATAACAAAGTAGCAGAAATAGAAATTAAGAAAACAATCCCAGGGATGCCTGGGTGGCTCAGTTGGTTAAGCATCTGCCTTCAGCTCAGGTCTTCTGGGATAGAGTCTTATATCAAGCTCTCTGCCCAGTGGGGAGCCTGCATCCTCCTCTGCCAGTCTGCCTCGCCCCTCCATGAATAAATAAATAAGATCTTAAAAAAAAAAAAAAAAGAAAACAATCCCAATTACAACTGCATCAGAAAGAATAAAATACCCATGAATAATCTTAACTAAAGAGGTAAAAGACCTATACTCTAAAAAACTATAAAACATTGGTGAAAGAAACTGAAAACAACACAAACTAAAAGATATTCCACTCTCATGGATTGAAAGAATCACAAGACATGAGATCAATACAAAAAGAAATCAATCATATTGTTACATAACAATAAATCTTTCAAAAATGAAATTAAGATATCAATGCCATTTATAATGACATCAAAAAGTATGAAATATTTAATGGTAGATTTAAGAAAAAATGGGTGCAAGACCCATACACTGAAAAATAAACACTGATGAACAAATATAAAGACTTAAATAAATATATAGGTAAATCTTTTCGTGTATTGGAAGATAATATCTTTAAGATACCAGTTCTCCCCAGATTGATCTACACATTCCATATAATCTCTTTTTGCAGAAATTGACAAGTTTATTTTAAACTGCATACAGAAATGTATAGGATTTAGATATGCAAAAATTATTTTGAGAAAGAAGAACAAATTTGAGAACCTAATGCTTCCTATTTTGGAATTCTACTAGAAAACTCTGTTAATTAATACAACATAGTTTTGATTTAAGGATAGACACCTACATATATATCAATGGAAGGGAACAAAAAGAGACCCATACATTCATGTTTAAATGACCTTTAACAGAAATGTCAAGGTAATTCAATGGGGGAAATGATGGTCTTTTCAACAAATGGTGCTATGGTAACTGAATATCTATAAGAAAAACAAAACAAAACTGAACCCTTACTTTATACCTTATATAAGAACTCAAAATGGGTCATATATCTAAATATAAAAGCTAAACTGTAATTCTCTGTTTTTTCAGTTTGAGAGAGAGGGATAGAGTAAGCATGAGTGAGAAGGGAAGGGCTGAAGGGAAGGGAGGAGAGGGAGAGAATCTCAACCAGATTCTGTGCTGAGTGTGGAGTCAGTTGCAGAGTTCCATCTCACAATCCTCAGATCATGACCTGAACCAAAACCAAGAGTCAGACACTTTTTAAACTGAGCTCACCAGGCGCCCCCTAAAACTATAATTTCTTGAAGAAACATTGAAGACAATATTTGCAACTTTGGGGAAGGCAAAATTTCTAAGGCAAGATACAAAAGCATAAACTATAAACAAATTAATAAATTCGATTTTGTGAAAAACAAAAGGCCCATTAAGAAAAGGAATAAACAAGCCACTGACCTGGAAAAGATATTCATAAAATACATATTTGAGCAAAGACATGTATTTAAAATATACAAAGAACTCCTAATTTGATTAAGAGAAAAAAAAATTAAAGTAGGCAAAATATTTGTTGTGACACTTCACAAAAAAAGATACCTATAAGGGTAAAATTTAAAACGTCAACAATAGGGCGCCTGGGTGGCTCAGTTGGTTAAGTGACTGCCTTCTGCGAAAGGTCATGGTCCTGGAGTCCCAGGATCAAGTCCCACATCGGGCTCCCAGCTCCATGGGGAGTCTGCTTTTCCCTCTGATCTTCTCCCCTCTCAAGCTCTCTCTCTCTCTCAAATAAGTATAAAATCTTTAAAAAATAATAAAATAAAAGGTCAACAATATCAAGTTTTAACAAGAATATAAAGCAACCAAAACTCTTCTATAGTACTTGTAGGAATATAAATGATAACCACCACTTTGGAAAACAGTTTAGTAATTTCTTATAAAATTAAACATGTACATACCATATGACCCAGCCATTTTGCTCTTGGTTTTTATCCATAAGAAATGAAAATATATGTCTACACAATGTTTGTCTATAAGTGTTCAAAGAAGCTTTATTCATAAGAGTCAAACACTGTAAATGACTCAAATATCCATCAAGTGAGTCGATAAACAATTATGGTATGTCCACATAATGGAAAATTACTTGGCAATATAAAGGAATGAACTTTAAATATACTCAACTTATTACTCAAAAATGTAGATGAATCTCAAAAATATCCTGGGTGAAAAAAAAACAGACATAAGAGTACAGACTTTATGGTCCCATTCATGTGAAATTTCAGAACAAATAAAAATAAAATACATAATGTCAGAAAAGAAATTAGTGTTTACCTAAGGCTGAGTTTGAGGGAAATTGACTGCAAAGGTCAATAAGAGAATGTTTTGAAGTCCTGGAAATGTTGTGTCTTGGCTGTGGTGTTTTATATATATACATAAATATATAAATATAAAAATATGTGGTATATATCTATATATGAATAGATTTATACATAGTAATATATATTTAAAGTATAATTCATGTATTTATAGTAATTAATACTTAAGTTATTATTTATATATTAATATATTATAACTCCTATATATATATAATTGTCAATACTCTTCGAAATGTACACTTACTTTTTTCTAAAAGATTTTATTTAGTTGCTTAGAGAGAGAGTGAGAGAGAGCACAGAGGGAGAGAGAGAAGCAGACCCCCACAAAGGAGGGAGCCAATGTGGGGCTCGATTCCAAGACCCTGGGATCATGACCTGAGCCAGAGGTAGATACTTAACCAACTGAGCCATCCAGGCACCCCTGAAATGTATACTTATAATAAATGCATTTTGTCATATATAAATATCTCATTAAAATTGATTTTCAAAAAAATCAAATAACCCAGTGAAGAGTAAGATATAAACCACTAATTTTTTGTTTAGCTCTTCAGTGTGGTCTTATAAAACTTGATTTTACCATAAAAGTGTTCTATCCAAGCAATATGGTTTTCCTTCAAGATAATGTGTTGCTTTTCCTCAGTAAATTTTAAGAATCTAGCAAAATATGCTACTTACCAATATAGTTCTTCGACATGGCAACTTCTCTAACTTCAATATGAACAGAGCCTCTTGGTATCTGGACTACTTCCATGTAGCCTGAAACACAGAAGATAGCCAGGAATAAGCAGCACGAGCAGCCTTGGTCAGAAAATGAGTGTTTAGTAACCATTCAGTAATAAGTTTCCTTGTTCTTCAAATCTTTTTTTGACTTAGCACTTTATAAATTATGCAGTATGAGCAAATTCCCCTTTGGGTTCATGAACACATCTAGAGTATTTTTCTTTTTCTCTAAACTAGCTCAAGATAGTCTTTGAAGCCTCAACATGTATAATACTGGTTCATGTTTTTTTTTTCTCAACACATGCTCCTCCCATCAATGCTCTGTGGGAATTCAGATCTGAGGGAAACATGGCTAAATGAAGTCAAGTAGAAAGGGAACAATATTTCCTTAAAATATCTTACATGGATCTATATTTAATATTTAAGAGACTAAAAGCAACTTAGGGAATAAACAGTGTCTGTCTAAATAAAAAAAATTTTTTAAAGGGGGTGGGAAAGAAATCAAGTGTTTTGGCTATTCCCAGGACAACAGAGGTGTGAAGAAGAGTTCTCTCTACACACTCACCTCCTCTGGGCAACGAATCATTGAAGAACCCTTCGATGGCGTCACATGTGCTTCCATCCCCTCCACAGACTCGACATCTATCTTCCCTAGCATCAGATCCCAAAATATTATCACAACCTACATGCTGAAAACAGAGTAGAATATTCAGTATGTCATAAAGAGGAACACTTGGAACTGTAACTAACCAAACAAATATAACTTATTCATTTATTTGTTTTTCCAGTAAAGGAAATCAAAACAGGTAGTATTTTCCTCTCTCCACTTTTTCTTTCCCAGTCTAGTAATTTCTTAGCTAACATTTCTCAACATATAAGTTTAAAGGAAAAGAATTCTGATTCCCCAGGAATGTATGTCTGTATTTCTAACCTAGGTTTCTTTTTCATTTATAGAATCCATGCTCCAAATCTTAAAATATTATAATTTGTTGGCAATGGACTCTTACTTATATCTTCAATCAAGAAATGCAAGATTTGGGGCACTTGGGTGGCTCAGTTGGTTAAGCGACTGCCTTCAGCTCAGGTCGTGATCCCAGGGTCCTGGGATCGAGCCCTGCATCAGGCTACTTGCTCAGTGGGAAGCCTGCTTCTCCCTCTCCCACTCCCCTGCTTGTGTTCTCTCTCTTGCTGTGCATCTCTCTCTGTCAAATAAATAAAAAAAATCTTAAAAAAAAAAAAAAGAAATGCAAGAATTAAGAAAAATACCATGTTGTCCTGTTGTCCTACATAGGGTTATAACAGCAGGAGTTGTGACTGAGCATTATGGTTTGACCTTTCTAAATCACTGATGCTTTTGAATATCCAATTGTTAGTGTCAAGGATTAGTTGTGGAATTCAAAACAGGGTAAACCTTTAAAAATGAATACCTATTTCCACCAGCTGAATAAAATTGTCATAAAAACAAGGACAGGTAAGCATATGATCATGGGAGCTGAAATTCTACCTTTCAGTTTCGCATTTAATCATAGAAATATGGATTTTTATATATTTTTGGTACATATTTTGGCACTTGAATTTGTATAATGACCTTTAGCCATTGATATCAGGCATGTGATCTCTGAATAAAACCTGTACTTTTGTCTTTGCTACTCCCCCAAATTTTAATACTGTCATAGAAATAACGCACATGCACAGGATCATCAGGTATATTGAGAATCAAGTAGCCTGAAGGACAGAAACTTTCACAATAAATTATGACAAAAAATAGATAGTGTTTTATCACTTCTTTCTCAGTTTCTGAGACTTAGTTTTGTGCTTCTCCTTAATATAAAGTAAAAACAAACGGTGAAAAAAGTTACAAGAACAGTGTTTTTTACGGCTTTTCTTATTATGGTTTTATACGCAGGTCTAGGAAAATAGCATGGATTTGCTCTTAAAATTCTCAACTAGTCTGGCTAATTCTCTAAAGAAAATGCTTTAGTAAGGTAAAGACTAACTCTATAATGAAAACCACTGTGCTCCAAAATGCTTCAAAAAGAGACAAAGTAGGAGGAACATAGCTGTTTCACACTTCGAGGAAAAACTATACTATGAAATGTATTAAACAATCTTCCAATGAAAACATGTGGTAGCCATATGAATATGAGCTAAATCCTTGTTCCCTCTCTCTTCCTATCATCTTTGTAATCTGTTTATAAACGGAACAGAATAACAGAAATTAAAGTCCAAAATATATTCAGAGCTCTAGCAATTACTACATACATAACTGGAACGCCAAAATAAATCATATCTACATGATGTTCGAATATGAATAGGCTAGTCTACCTTTAGTGGTATGTATTGTTAACCTAATTGGAAATTGAATTTCTCTAAAATGTAGCTCTCTTTATTAAAACTGAGCATAGTATTAATTAGGAGCGACCATCTGAGAAAAAAGACAAAAGTCTCAAAAGCCCCCCTCCCCCAAAGGAGTAAAATTCAAAATTAGAGCAACCTTGCATTCCCCATTGATACAGATATCCAGTGAGTCTGCATTGCACTGAGTCCCATCAATCACTGCAGGGGCACGTTCAGTGTAGAAGTTGTAACCTTCAGCCAAGCAATTTAATGCACAAGGTTTTACCCCACCTGGACAAATACAGCAGAAAAGAAATAAATGGAGTGGTTCTTTTAAGAAACAGTGATTCCATATTAACCACAGTAAATTTACAATTCATACAGACATCATTCATTCACTATATACCCAGATGTGTACATTTCTTCCCTCTTTTGCTAAAATTTGATATTTATTTTCATTGCTTATGCAACTTGACAGAAGATCTGTTGAACAGTTTTAAGGTTTAAAATGTTCAGGTATTTCTAGTATATATTTAATAATATATTTTAGGTCAAAAAGGAACACAGTAAATGTACCTGAATGTTGAAAAAAATGGATGAAATAAAAACTTTTAAAAAACTAAGAAAATAAAAGTTTGAGGCTTGGCACAGTAACTTCATATAGCAAATGGGAAATTTCTACAACATTTGTCACTTATTAACTGAAGCTGATACAAAAACTCTACTTCAAGCAAGGATATGGTAGTTATTTTAAAAAAACAACAACAACAAAACCAAACCTCTAAATTACTACCCACTTTAAACAAACTGTATTCCATGAATGTGGCTTTAGTGTAGAGGTAAGTTTTTATGAGATAAGCAAATCAAAGGTAAAATTAATTATAGCATTAAATTTGAATAATTCTTGTTACAAAATCAAAGATAATTACATATAGCATTAAACATGAATAATTTAAAAATACCTAATTTTATTTGTGAATAGAAGAACTACATCATTTTCATTTTGTCACTGAAATTTGTATTTCTTAAGCTTGATGTGAAAAATAGGCATAAATAGTAGCAATTTAAAAAAACAAGCAGAGTAATATCATACTTTCATAGTATATTGGAAAGATGTAATATATATGAATTTATTTTATTCAAAACATTGCATGAGAAAGTTACTTCTAAATATGTAACTACTGATTGAAATTATGACTTAAAAACACTTTATGTCCAACCTTCGTTTGATGAAGTTTAAAATATTTTGCTTTAATTCTAATCATGCTGATAAAATTTCTCTTTGAAATAAAAAAAGACCATTTCAAACAATGAAAATAAGGCAGAAAGATAAAATGACATGCTTAATCTCAGTAGAAATTACAAATCTCATCGAAGGTATGTGAAATCAAAGAGACAAGCCAAATGAGTGATAGAGACAATGGTAAATTAGAAAGAACATTGCATTAAAGATCCTTGTTATAGTTGATTATTGTACAATGCAAGAAGATGGCCCAATATTGTCAAATACTGTTTTTTCATGAGAAGATGGAAACCTAGAGTTTTAAAATAAAAAACGCTTTTTGATAACTCATTCAAAGTTTTCAAAAATACTAGAGATTAAAACATCTATGTAAGTAAAGACTGGTTCCTGAACTGTCAGTTTACCTCCTCTGGCCCTAAGTCCACGTTTGCTTCCATTTTCAATGTATAGGTTATAGAACTTCTATATAATTTGATATGTTATTATTAGACTTAAGTTAATGATACCTTTTGCTCTCCTGACCGCAAATATAACAAGTAATAAATAGAATAATTTCTTCCTAAACTGATAATCTAGGTATTTATATTCATTTTTGTAAGATTCTTATAAATAAACTTACTCTAAGTTTCAATGAACTTTACTGGGATTTTTTTCATTACTATCCAGTATAGTTCTTTTCCCATTTTTTTTACTGTAATGCTTTGGAATTTAATGTAGCTTTTTATGTCAGGTTTTAAAAAGAAAACGAGTTTTGCTTACTCAATTCTAACATAATTTAATTATGTAAGGTAGCATTTGATATGTAGAACATATAAATACTTTGGCTGTATTCCTTAGACTACTACACTATGTGATAATAATAAGAATACATTTCACCCTTTTTCATTTCAGAAGATGTGTTCAACTTCCTCAGCTACAGAGAGGTGTTTTTTTGTTTTGTTTTTAGTTTTTTTGTTTTTTTTTTAAAGTGGGCTCCACATCCAGCATGGAGCCCAACACAGGTCTTGAACTCATGACCTTGAAATCAACACCCAAGCTGAGATCAGGAGTCAGACACTGAACCAGCTGAGCCATCCAGGCACTCCACTCAACTACAGTGAGTTTTCAGAAGAGGTACTGCTATTATTTTGAAAAGAGATTTAAGATGATTCTCTAAACATTAGGTCACATCATTACCAGTTACCTTCAGTGAAAAGTGAAAGCTTTTATGAAGTGAAAGCTTATTATGAATTTAGGGTAAATCCACTAAGCTTATAATTACCTAGATGCTAATTATTAAATCTGAAATTATTTTTCAGATACTTCTTTTCCTCGTACAGTAAAACAAAACAATCCTAAATTTATATGTACCTAATAAAAGCAACTTGAAAAACTTGCAAAAAAGAGGGGCGCCTGGGTGGCTCAGTGGGTTAAAGCCTCTGCCTTCAGCTCAGGTCATGATCCCAGAGTCCTGGGATCGAGCCCCACATCGGGCTCTCTGCTCAGTGGGGAGCCTGCTTCCTCCTCTCTCTCTGCCTGCCTCTCTGCCTACTTGTGATCTCTGTCAAATAAACAAATAAAATCTTTAAAAAAAAAAAACTTGCAAAAAAAAAAACAAAACTGGAAAAAAAAATTTTTAAAAAAATTATCCCAAAAAAAAAAAAAAAAAAAAAAAAAAAAAAAAAAAAAAAAAAAAAAAAAAAAAAAAAAATCAGAAAGAATATAAAAGATTTAAACAACACTAACAGCCAACTTGATGTGATCGATATCTATGGAACACTGTATCCAACAATTGCAGAAAACACATCCTTTTCAAGTATAGATAGCACATTACCAACATGAACAATAAATGGTACTATAAAACAAATCTCAATTAATTTAAAAAATTTAAATCATACAGAGTATTCTCTGATCATAGTAGAAATTAGAAATCAATAACCAAACAATCTAGAAAATATCAAATAATTGGAAATAAAACTAACATTGTTCTAAATAACCCATAGGTCAAAGGAGAAATCACAAAGTAAATGATAAAAGATTTTGAATTAAGGGAAATTTTTTTAAAACTCAAGTTTGGTAATACAGAAAAGCAAAATAAACCCAAAATTTAAAAATAATAAATATAAGAGCAAAAACTAATAAAAGAGAATAAAAGAGAAAAGTACTAAAGCCAAAGTAGATTCTTTGAAAAGATTAATAAAATTAATAAACCTCAAGCAAGACTGATCAAGAAAAAGAGAGAAAACACATATTATCAATATCAGAAATGAAAGAGCATACATCACTACAGAGCCTATAGATATTAAACAGGACAGTAAGAGAATGTTATGATCAATTTTCTGTCAAGAAATGGTATATGGGAGTATCCCATAGTTTCTTGAAGACATAAAAATTTTTTTAAAATGTGAACAGCTCTTTATCTACTAAAGGAGTTGAATATGTAACATTTTTTTTTCCACAAAGAAAATACCAAGCCTGAGTGGCTTTAGTAGTGAAATCTATTTTAAAGAAGAAATAATACCAATCCTACAATCTCTTTGAAAATAAACAGGGATTCTATTTCTAGAAGTCAGAGTAAATCTAATACCCAAACTTGTCAAACACAGGACAGGAAAAAAAATTGCAAATCAGAATTCCTTAAAAAAAAAAAAACAAAAAAAAACCAGATGCAAACACCCTTAATAAAAAATTAGAAACTAAATCCAATAACATATAAAAAGATAAAAAATCATTGCCACATGGGGTTTATCCTAGAAATAAAAAGTTGGTCTGACATAAAAATCTATCAAGCAATTCACCATATTAACAGAATAAAGAAAAATACATATACTCATACATGTACAAACTGTACTGAAGAGCCAATCCAGTGTATTAAGGCAAGAACATGAATTAAAAGACATAACAATTGATACAAACAGTTTCTACTTCCAGACAACATGACTATTTACCAAGAAAATCCTAAGCAATCTACAAAACAACTATTAGGACTAACAGTAAGGTAAATTTAGGAAGGTCACAGAATACAAATTTAATACACAAAAATCTATGTATTTTTGGATATTAGAGCAAGCAATTGAAAATGGTATAGTTTAAACTTTTATTTACAATAGTTGCAAAAAAAAATTACTCAGAAATAGATTTAACAAAAGAAGTACAAGACCTAACACCTAAAACTACAAAACATAGCTGAGAGAAATTAAAGAAAACATAAAGAAAATTAAAGAAAACATTAATAAATGGGCATATATATATAATGTTCATATATTCACTATTGAATTCAATATTCAATGTTAAAATAATATTGTTAATTTATCAGTTCCTCTTCAACTATCTATAGATTCAACATGATAGCAATCACAAGCCCAGCATATTTTTCTGTAGTAATTAATAGCAATTCTAAAATTTAGATAGAAATGCAAAGCACCTAGAATATCCAAAGAACTCTTGAAAAATAGATCAAAGTTGGAGGAACTTACACTCCCTGTGTCCAAGACTATACATTTACAATAATTCAGTCAGTGTGGTGTTAGCATAGTACCGCTACCATTTCATTTCATTGCACATTGTAAACATTTCATTGTGTATTTCTATTGTTGACAAATAAGTGAAAGAAAATAGAATTGAAATTACAAATACACGCCATAACCCCAAATTATTTTTAGACTATAGATCCAAATATAAAGACCAAGACCATACAGCTTTTAGAAGAAAACATAAGAAAATATCTTCTTGAGTTGAGAAAGGCAAAGGCTTCTAAGACAGGACACTAAACACAATAACCATAAAAGGAAAAAAAAATGAAAAAATAGCATTCATCAAAATTAAAATCTTAATTTTTAAACACCATTAAAAAAGTAAAAGGAAAGTCCAAAGATGTGAAAAAATATTCATGAAATTTATCTGATAAATAACTACCACTCAAGAATAGAAAGATAAATAACCAATTAAAACTAGACAAAGGATTGGAACAGTCACTTTACAAGTGTACCAAGAAGATTTATAAATGGTCAATAAGCACATAGAAATGTACTTGACATAATCAATGATCAGAAAATGCAAATTAAAACAGCACTGAGACATTATTATACACCTACCAACGGAAGACTGAAAATACCAAATGTTGGCAAGGATGTGGAACAAACGTAACTTTCATATGTTGTTGGTGGGAGTGTAATATGGTACATCATTTTGGAAAAACATCTGGCAATTTCTTTTAAAGCAAAACTCACACCTCCCCTATTGCCCAGCAATTCCACTCCTAAGTATTTACCCAAGAGAAATGAAAACATATGCTCACAAAGAGAATGCTACAAAAATGTTCACAGCAGCTTATTCAGAACAGCTGAGAAATAGGAACAACTCAGGTGGTCAGCCATCAGTAGCAGGATGGGAAAACTGGTTTTTACAATGGAATGCTGCTCAGCAATAAAAAGGAACGAGCTCTTCATATGTGCAATAACGTGGATGGATCTCAAAAACATTAGGCCCAAAATAGTAAATACAACATGATTTCACTTATATGAAGTTCTGGCACCAGCAAAACTAATATATGGTAAGGAAAAAAATATCAGAACAGGGTTGCCTCTTGGAAGAAATAGGTAGAGGCAGCTATTGGCTGGGAAGGACTATGGGGACTTTGAGAATTTTGGAGGTATGGTAATGTTCTGTACGTTAATAGGGTTTTGCAGGTGTGCACATTTGTCAGAACTCAGGGAAAGTACAGTTAAGATTGTGCATTGCATTGTACATAATCTAACCTCTAAAACAATAAATAAATATTGAACTGTGGTTAATGTTATACATGTTGAAGTATTTAGAGGAAAGTATGGCAATGACTACAATTTACTTTGACACACATCAAAAAATTAATGGATTAATGAATGGAGAGATGACTAGACATGTAACAAAGTATATTATAATGTAAATGGTAGAATCTTGTCAATGTAAAATTCTTTTAATATTGCTCTGTTGGAAAATTTTCAAGGCAAGATAGTAGAATAAAAAACAAACAATAGAAATTTTTTAAAAGTACATTCAATTTCTCCAAGAGAAAATTTCAACAAAATTTAATTTGTATTTTGGGAATACAAGAAAACTTCTAGTGTTTACTGAACAATTAGTGTTTGATACATGCCCAAATTAAAGGGTAAAAATGATCCCCAACACTAAAAAAGAATAATAATAATCTATTGGAAGATCCTTGGCCTTTGACCAAGAAAGAATATAGGTTTTCCTGGCCACTTTTAAATTGATTTATATTGTTATAAGTTGTTTTCAGGGTGATAATTCTAAATATTTAGTGATTATAAATGGTTATAATGTAATGTCCATTTATCCCAAGAAAGTCTTAAGAATTCAAAAGCATTATTTGGATTTATATCCTTTCAAGGACTTTTGTACCTTGTTAAATAGAATTAGGTTTTTATAAATGATCTCTGATCATTTTTACTAACATAAACTTTATTACAGGGAAACTGTATAGTACTATAAGCGTTATCTTGCTTTGATTTGCAAACACTGATTTCTACTAGTATGTGTATGAAAGTATGTGTGTGTTTGTTTGTATTTATATATTATTTTATATTTGCAAAGCTCTCAAGCATGATGAATGCTCTGCTGGTTATACATTACCTCCAGTATAGGGTTTCCAGTTATAATACTTTCCACGGAAAGGCATATTGTCAAAGTCTGCACACTGTTTCTCTCGAAAATCTCGGGCCCCCAAAGGACATGGCTAAAATAAAATAAAATCATAAATGGTATGATTGTTGAAAAATACTAAAACTAAGGGACATTGTCCCTAAAATTAAAATTGCCTGAATTCGTCACATTAGCTCACTGCCTGATGCTGTAGCTATAACTCTGGCATTTACTTTACATTTATTCATTCTACAGCAGTATTCAAACTGATGTGTCTGAACTATATCTTAGCCACAGAATAAATAACTGAAGTAATTTATATGAAATTAAGTGTCAGACAGTTTCCTTATAACTTTATAGTCAGATACATGTCATAGTCCACTTTGCAATCAATCCATCAGGATTGTAAATACATATAAAAACTAGATGAAAAAACTAAAACACAAAATCTCTTTTGGTAACATTATTTAAGGTCCAGTTGCCACAGCTACTCCCAGCTCTTTATTTTAAGGAATCAAGAGGCAGGTTTGTAACACAACATTCAGCTCTATTAATTGTGGTTTGGATCCCTACTACTATAGCTGTTTACTGTCTAGCCTTGACAAAAACCATATTTTAAGATGTGGAATGAACTGGGCAAATGCTAGTCCTCAAGTCTAAACACCTTCAAATTCAAGGAATTTGGACTTACTAAGATTTACATTTAATCTATGAACATCACGGAAAATAAAATACTAACTTGGTTAAAAACATCTGCATGTGTTGGGTGGGGAGCAGAGGAGGATATTGAGAGGGTGAAGAGAAGGTTATTTGTTTTCTAAAAGTTTGGAATGTTTCATCTACCTGAATTTTTTAAAAAAGGAAAACCTTGCCAATGCAGCTAGGTCTAGATTCCAAATACCACAGGCCCATCCTAAATTCAATCTTTAAATTCACAAAGAATTAGAAGTATAACCTTTCACAGTGTTTGAGCAATATGACCTAATTTGACTTATCTTTTAGAGTTCTATAGTTGTAGCACCTAAAATAATCACTGCTTTTGATAAACTGGTGGAAAAAATATCCTGCTCACATAAGGAAGAATAAAACAGTTCAGGAGATAAAATTCTTTTTTTTTTTTTTTTTTTTTTTTTAGATTTTATTTATTTATTTGACAGACAGAGATCACAAGTAGGCAGAGAGGCAGGCAGAGAGAGGGGGGAAGCAGGCTCCCTGCGGAGCAGAGAGCCCGATGCGGGGCTGGATCCCAGGATCCTGGGAATCATGACCTGAGCAGAAGGCAGAGGCTTTAACCCACTGAGCCACCCAGGCGCCCCCAGGAGATAAAATTCTTAATTGTGAATAAGTGATGAGTAGATTAAACTCTCAGAGATCAATCAAGGACTTTTTACTGCCCTCCCTCGGATCTCTACATTTACTTTATATAGTTTTCTGAGGTTAGTATATTATAAATGGTCCCTTGGAGCATGTACAAAAACAACAGACCACAATGTGCACATAGTCATATGGTCATCATTACTTCCTATATATTGTGGTTCAAATCTCTACCATATCAATTCCAAAGACTCAAATTCAGGTGCCTGGGTAGCTCAGTTGTTTGAGTTACTGCCTTCAGCTCAGGTCATGATCCTGGAGTCCCCGCATAGGGCTCCCTGCTTAGCGGGGGTGGGGTGGGGGGTGGGTTGGTGGTCTTCTTCTCCCTCTGACCTTCCCCCTCTCATGCTCACTCGCTCTCATTCTCTCTCTCTCTCAAATAAATAAATAAAATCTTTTTTTTTTTTAAAAAGCCTCAAATTCTGAAAACAGTGTCAATAGGTCTACGTTCCATTGTGAGCCCCATATTATAATTTCTGCACATTAAAGTTCGACACTGCAATATCAAACCCAATGATTCTGCTTGTCAAATAACCCTTCTTGTCTTTTAGAAAAATGAAAAATGACTATTTAACATACGCTACCTAGTGCATCATGCTGGACAGACACACTTCCCGGGTGTTTTGTTTCACCGCGTGCCAATCTTTGCATCAAAGAAAAGCCATTCTAGACACTTTTTCAGGGACTCCCATTCAAGGATGAAAGTGGTTGGTGGCTTTGCCATGTAGCAAGACTAATTTTTAAGCAAACATCATCAAATTTAAAAAAAAAAATACAGTTACTTTGAACTCTAACTACAAGTTTTCCAATAAAACTTAAGTATTTGTAAAGTACCAACCACTAAAACAATCATCCAAGCATGGCTTTCAGTCTAGCTGGAGAAATGGGACACAAATGGGAGAACAGCAGTGCTGTCTCAGGCAATGAGTATACCACAGCACAGCACAGGTGGCCTATAGGTGCTCCATAAGGTAAAAAATCCATGTGTCACATGATTTGTGTAGGAGGAAAATCGTGAGTATAGCACAATTACAAGTATTATAAGTAATTATTTTTTATAATATTATAAAGTATTATAAGAATTGAACTAGGTGAGAAAGAATATTTCTAGGGGGTTAAAACTATTAAGAAGGAAGTGAAGTAAAGCCATGGTTACCGGAAGGAGAAGGTTGTATGTTGGGAATAGTTCCATTGTAGACAAAAGAAATTTATGAAGTAATAAGAAAAGATGACATTTCATAGAAAACCACTGGTACATTAAAAAAAAAAAAAACCCTGAATTAACAAACTAAGGCATTATGAAGACTATTTACTTAAAAACAAACAAAAAATCTCATTCTTGACTATCTTGTAACGAATCTCCTAAATACAGGCAAAGTGAAAAGTCCGACAGGAGGATATTATAGTTTAACAAAACACTTGGATAATATTTCATAAAATTTCTAATCTATATTCTTTCCTCTGATAACTACTCAGGGTCAGCATAATAAAAATATTAACAATGACAATAGCTACTTAGCATTTACTAAGCATTCAGCAAGTACCCATTCTATGGTACACTATTCAGAAGCCTATAGATATATTATCTATTTAATCTCTTTAACACTCTTAGGCATTTGTAATTAATAATCCCTTTTACCGAGTACACTGGCTACAAACATTTGCTTAGTGATAGTTTCAGGGTGTAAGGACACTCCTTCATCAGAATGGGAGCTTCCTTTGAACTCTGAATGCTACAGTAACAGCATAAAGTTTTAGCTCTGTTAAGACGTATAAAAACTTAACAGGAATAACTTGAGTTCCTGTCATTTCAGCTGCAACTTTCTTTTCTTCTCCAAACTACTTTTTCCTCATTTATAAAATAAGAGGGCTAAAAGCAAAATTTTGGAGTGTGACAAACCTGGATTCAATTCTAACTTGGTCTTTTATTTAATTCATGGCTTTTAGCAATGCACTCAATTTTCCAAACCTCATCTATAAGCTAGGGATAATACTAGTATTTACCTCCTAGGAGAGGATTCATGTGAACTGTTTAGCTCCGTACCTGGCATAGGGCAGAAGTTAATAACTATTAGCAGCTGTTCTGGTCTTGGGTCTAGGCATTCTTAGATTCATTCCTCACCTTCTCCTGCTCTGCTCTGTATCTCTGGGGAATGAACTCTGCAAGCTCCATTTCCCAGTCTTCTGTGTCTGCTGACTTCTGACAATGATTCAGGCAATGAAGGCACTACTGGGAGAAGCCAGAGTATTTCTCTTTCTTTCTCTCCACCTCATGGCAGCACCATAGGCAAAAGAATCTTTTTGTGATTCCAACTTCAGGTAATAGCACCACACTTACCCCATCCCTCCCCTCTCTGGCCCTATCTTATGATTCTATCCTATAATTCCTGCATCTAGACTCCGATAAAACTACCCTCTTCTTTGGTCTCCCTGGACGGAGTGGTGGCGTCTTCCTGTTGATGTTGATCTATGGGCTTGCCAGCCTCTTCCAACGTCTATGTAACCATTTTTTTCCATTAAAGTCCCTCTACTTAAATATTCAGAGGTTTATATTATTATGGTTGGAAATTTACTGATATAACAATCAAAAATAATGATGATGAGGTATTTGGGAGACTGAATAGAGATTTATTTATTTCTATGAGTTATATTTTGCAGTTTATTGGTTAAGGGCAGAGGATGGCCAACGTTTTTTGTAAAGGGCCACGTAGTAATATTTTAGACCTTGTACGCCATACGGTCTTTGTTGCAACTCCTCAACAGTGGCATTATGGTGTGAAAGAAGCTATAGGCAATATGCAAATGAAAGGTCAGTTCTGTGTTCCAATAAAATCTTACCTACAAAAAGAGGTGACAGGGCCAACTTTGGTAGAGGAGGTGGAATTTTTCAACCTCCTGATTTAAGATGGTAACATAATAGATACATATGTCCCGCAGCACTTTGAAGAATGACCAAACTGTGATTAATTTTTGAGTCAATACAGAATCATATACTTCTAAGACTATAATCTAATTAGCATAAGATGCTTCAATTTCCTCTACAATTATCCCTAAAGTGATCATGCAATCTGTACAAGCATCTATAGAAAAATCAAATACTTTTCAGGCAGTTGCAATTATCAGGTTCTTTCTTACTTTTAGCCTAAATCTATCTTCCTATAACCCTTTCTTCTGGATCTACACTGAACAATCTGATCCCTAAATGTAAGGTATCTAGACCTTGACGGCTTTCATATGAGCACATCATAAGCTTATCATTAGTCCTCTTAAAGCCAGCCATTAAGAACTGGCCTTAAATGTCTTTCTTCTGCTCAGCAAATGTGTCACATATGATGTAAGTTCTGGAAATAAAGCAATAAAACAGATTAGGTCCCTGCTTTCAGGAGTTCATTCTAGTTGGAGGTGAGAAAGAAGAAAAATAAGGGGATTGATGGTGAGGTGACGGGGAAGTTGTTTTGAAATAGTATGGTCTTGGGGCGCCTGGGTGGCTCAGTGGGTTAGGTCTCTGCCTTCAGCTCAGGTCATGATCTCAGGATCCTGGGATCGAGCCCCGCATCCGGATCTCTGCTCAGCAGGGAGCCTGCTTCCTCCTCTCTCTCTCTGCCTGTCTCTCTGCTTACTTATGATCTCTCTCTCTCTCTCTGTGTCAAATAAATAAATAAAATATTTTTTTAAAAAATGGTATGGTCAGAGACATTCTCTCCAATAAGGTAGCCCTTG